TTGTGTGTTGACGTTGTATATTTATTGGCAGTGTGTTATGATGTGTGCTTGTGTGTTGACGTTGTATATTTATTGGCAGTGTGTTATGATGTGTGCTTGTGTGTTGACGTTGTATATTTATTGGCAGTGTGTTATGATGTGTGCTTGTGTGTTGACGTTGTATATTTATTGGCAGTGTGTTATGATGTGTGCTTGTGTGTTGACGTTGTATATTTATTGGCAGTGTGTTATGATGTGTGCTTGTGTGTTGACGTTGTATATTTATTGGCAGTGTGTTATGATGTGTGCTTGTGTGTTGACGTTGTATATTTATTGGCAGTGTGTTATGATGTGTGCTTGTGTGTTGACGTTGTATATTTATTGGCAGTGTGTTATGATGTGTGCTTGTGTGTTGACGTTGTATATTTATTGGCAGTGTGTTATGATGTGTGCTTGTGTGTTGACGTTGTATATTTATTGGCAGTGTGTTATGATGTGTGCTTGTGTGTTGACGTTGTATATTTATTGGCAGTGTGTTATGATGTGTGCTTGTGTGTTGACGTTGTATATTTATTGGCAGTGTGTTATGATGTGTGCTTGTGTGTTGACGTTGTATATTTATTGGCAGTGTGTTATGATGTGTGCTTGTGTGTTGACGTTGTATATTTATTGGCAGTGTGTTATGATGTGTGCTTGTGTGTTGACGTTGTATATTTATTGGCAGTGTGTTATGATGTGTGCTTGTGTGTTGACGTTGTATATTTATTGGCAGTGTGTTATGATGTGTGCTTGTGTGTTGACGTTGTATATTTATTGGCAGTGTGTTATGATGTGTGCTTGTGTGTTGACGTTGTATATTTATTGGCAGTGTGTTATGATGTGTGCTTGTGTGTTGACGTTGTATATTTATTGGCAGTGTGTTATGATGTGTGCTTGTGTGTTGACGTTGTATATTTATTGGCAGTGTGTTATGATGTGTGCTTGTGTGTTGACGTTGTATATTTATTGGCAGTGTGTTATGATGTGTGCTTGTGTGTTGACGTTGTATATTTATTGGCAGTGTGTTATGATGTGTGCTTGTGTGTTGACGTTGTATATTTATTGGCAGTGTGTTATGATGTGTGCTTGTGTGTTGACGTTGTATATTTATTGGCAGTGTGTTATGATGTGTGCTTGTGTGTTGACGTTGTATATTTATTGGCAGTGTGTTATGATGTGTGCTTGTGTGTTGACGTTGTATATTTATTGGCAGTGTGTTATGATGTGTGCTTGTGTGTTGACGTTGTATATTTATTGGCAGTGTGTTATGATGTGTGCTTGTGTGTTGACGTTGTATATTTATTGGCAGTGTGTTATGATGTGTGCTTGTGTGTTGACGTTGTATATTTATTGGCAGTGTGTTATGATGTGTGCTTGTGTGTTGACGTTGTATATTTATTGGCAGTGTGTTATGATGTGTGCTTGTGTGTTGACGTTGTATATTTATTGGCAGTGTGTTATGATGTGTGCTTGTGTGTTGACGTTGTATATTTATTGGCAGTGTGTTATGATGTGTGCTTGTGTGTTGACGTTGTATATTTATTGGCAGTGTGTTATGATGTGTGCTTGTGTGTTGACGTTGTATATTTATTGGCAGTGTGTTATGATGTGTGCTTGTGTGTTGACGTTGTATATTTATTGGCAGTGTGTTATGATGTGTGCTTGTGTGTTGACGTTGTATATTTATTGGCAGTGTGTTATGATGTGTGCTTGTGTGTTGACGTTGTATATTTATTGGCAGTGTGTTATGATGTGTGCTTGTGTGTTGACGTTGTATATTTATTGGCAGTGTGTTATGATGTGTGCTTGTGTGTTGACGTTGTATATTTATTGGCAGTGTGTTATGATGTGTGCTTGTGTGTTGACGTTGTATATTTATTGGCAGTGTGTTATGATGTGTGCTTGTGTGTTGACGTTGTATATTTATTGGCAGTGTGTTATGATGTGTGCTTGTGTGTTGACGTTGTATATTTATTGGCAGTGTGTTATGATGTGTGCTTGTGTGTTGACGTTGTATATTTATTGGCAGTGTGTTATGATGTGTGCTTGTGTGTTGACGTTGTATATTTATTGGCAGTGTGTTATGATGTGTGCTTGTGTGTTGACGTTGTATATTTATTGGCAGTGTGTTATGATGTGTGCTTGTGTGTTGACGTTGTATATTTATTGGCAGTGTGTTATGATGTGTGCTTGTGTGTTGACGTTGTATATTTATTGGCAGTGTGTTATGATGTGTGCTTGTGTGTTGACGTTGTATATTTATTGGCAGTGTGTTATGATGTGTGCTTGTGTGTTGACGTTGTATATTTATTGGCAGTGTGTTATGATGTGTGCTTGTGTGTTGACGTTGTATATTTATTGGCAGTGTGTTATGATGTGTGCTTGTGTGTTGACGTTGTATATTTATTGGCAGTGTGTTATGATGTGTGCTTGTGTGTTGACGTTGTATATTTATTGGCAGTGTGTTATGATGTGTGCTTGTGTGTTGACGTTGTATATTTATTGGCAGTGTGTTATGATGTGTGCTTGTGTGTTGACGTTGTATATTTATTGGCAGTGTGTTATGATGTGTGCTTGTGTGTTGACGTTGTATATTTATTGGCAGTGTGTTATGATGTGTGCTTGTGTGTTGACGTTGTATATTTATTGGCAGTGTGTTATGATGTGTGCTTGTGTGTTGACGTTGTATATTTATTGGCAGTGTGTTATGATGTGTGCTTGTGTGTTGACGTTGTATATTTATTGGCAGTGTGTTATGATGTGTGCTTGTGTGTTGACGTTGTATATTTATTGGCAGTGTGTTATGATGTGTGCTTGTGTGTTGACGTTGTATATTTATTGGCAGTGTGTTATGATGTGTGCTTGTGTGTTGACGTTGTATATTTATTGGCAGTGTGTTATGATGTGTGCTTGTGTGTTGACGTTGTATATTTATTGGCAGTGTGTTATGATGTGTGCTTGTGTGTTGACGTTGTATATTTATTGGCAGTGTGTTATGATGTGTGCTTGTGTGTTGACGTTGTATATTTATTGGCAGTGTGTTATGATGTGTGCTTGTGTGTTGACGTTGTATATTTATTGGCAGTGTGTTATGATGTGTGCTTGTGTGTTGACGTTGTATATTTATTGGCAGTGTGTTATGATGTGTGCTTGTGTGTTGACGTTGTATATTTATTGGCAGTGTGTTATGATGTGTGCTTGTGTGTTGACGTTGTATATTTATTGGCAGTGTGTTATGATGTGTGCTTGTGTGTTGACGTTGTATATTTATTGGCAGTGTGTTATGATGTGTGCTTGTGTGTTGACGTTGTATATTTATTGGCAGTGTGTTATGATGTGTGCTTGTGTGTTGACGTTGTATATTTATTGGCAGTGTGTTATGATGTGTGCTTGTGTGTTGACGTTGTATATTTATTGGCAGTGTGTTATGATGTGTGCTTGTGTGTTGACGTTGTATATTTATTGGCAGTGTGTTATGATGTGTGCTTGTGTGTTGACGTTGTATATTTATTGGCAGTGTGGTATGAAGTGTGCTTGTGTGTTGACGCTGTATATTTATTGGCAGTGTGGTATGATGTGTCCTTGTGTGTTGACGCTGTATATTTATTGGTAGTGTGTTATGATGTGTGCTTGTGTGTTGACGTTGTATATTTATTGGCAGTGTGGTATGATGTGTGCTTGTGTGTTGACGCTGTATATTTATTGGCAGTGTGGTATGATGTGTGCTTGTGTGTTGACGCTGTAAATTTATTGGCAGTGTGTTATGATGTGTGCTTGTGTGTTGACGCTGTTGTTTATTACATTTGTATGTCCTACTTAGTAGACGATGTGCTATAATTTGTGTTTGTATGTCGACAACGTTCTTCTCGTGTATTGACGCTGCAATATAATTATATATATATATATTTGTGTTAAAGCTGTTGTAATTTGTCTTTGTATGTTAACGCCTTGGTATATTTTGTCATTGTATGTTGACGCCTTGGTATTGTTTGTCTTTGTATGTTGACGCCTTGGTATATCTTGTCATTGTATGTTGACGCCTTGGTATATTTTGCCATTGTATGTTGACGCCTTGGTATTGTTTGTTTTTGTATGTTGACGCCTTGGTATTGTTTGTCTTTGTATGTTGACGCCATGGAATATTTTGTCATTGTATGTTGACGCCTTGGTATTGTTTGTCTTTGTATGTTGACGCCTTGGTATTGTTTGTCTTTTTATGTTGACGCCTTGGTATTATTTGTCTTTGTATGTTGACGCCTTGGTATATTTTGTCATTGTATGTTGACGCCTTGGTATATCTTGTCTTTGTATGTTTACGCCTTGGTATATCTTGTCTTTGTATGTTGACGGTGGCATTTTGATATTCAACTTGTACGTAGTTGATATTTATCATGTATGTACAAGTTGGATATCAAAATGCCACCGTGATTTTTTTAAAGTTTTACTTAACATATTGTAAATGTAAGCCAATAATGATTGGCATTTTAGGCATCCTTGCATTGTGACGTCACATGAGTAATAAACGTTCAGGGCGACAGAACAAGATTGTAACTTTTACAGTTTTAATCAATTCAGAACTGTCCTTATTCTGTTTCCCGAAGTATTTTCAGTAAATACTATGTAATTACATTCGTTAGTACACTGTCCGATACGAAAAGTCGTCTAAACTTGTCTATCCCTTTACTATCCTCTGTGTCTTTGTCTGAATTTGATAGAAAGTTAGCTTGGAATATTAAAGATTAGAAGTTTCGTACACGTATTGTTTCTGGAAAAAAACTCCGTATGATTGAGCCGGTGAAATTACATAATTATACAGTACATATCAAATATGACGAATGTGTTATGCACTTGATTTGCCAGTGTACATGAAACTATGATGTACGTATGTGTCTCATACGTTATACAAGATAGTATATAACGCATATGATTACTAATGCGGTGTACGACTTACTGTTAAGTTCACCCTATAAAATGTGACTTACCTGTGTAGAGGTTGCTGAGGAGAGTTATTGGTACACAGAAGATGGACACTAGGACGTCGGCGATGGCTAGATTAACGATGAAGTAATTGGTGGCGTTGTGCATTGACCGATTCCTCACCACCACCGTGATGACCATAAGGTTGCCACATAGGGCGAACAGGAACACAGCCGAGTACACACAGGAGTAGATCACGATCATGTGAAGGGGCTGCTTCAGTAGGTTGTAGTAAGTCACACTGGTATTGTCAAACACAGTGGTCATCTCCACGGTACTCGAAACTAAGGATTCCGTCATGGTTGTCATATTGGGTTGTTAACAGTACTTTTAGGAAATCAACCAAAATTAAAGTTTGACCCTTACTGAAGGACAGGATTATTGTTGTCAATGGTGATACACAATACACTGACAAACGACTTAAACAGTTATATAATTAGCAAATAGTAATGAGTACAACCTTAGGTGCAGAAAAAATCCCAAACTCCAAATAAATAATCATTATTTTAAACAGTTATAGAACTAGCATAAAATGCTACCACAGTACATCACCACGTCCCCAGTCGTGGTAAGCACACACTTAATAGACATGGAACAGGATCGATGTAGCCACGGAGGCTAGGCGTGTTAGTATTATTTGGAGTGTCCATGTATCGTCACCGTACTCTCTACTTTGACGTCACGCATAGACACTTTTCCAAGAATCTTGTACAAATACAACGTCTACATTGCTGAATGTCTTCCACTATGTCCACCGCAACAAATTTTACTGCAAACAAACAAAAGGACAGTTTAAATAAAATTTTACTGTGTCAGAGCAATAGAAACTTATAATACGCTTCTCGACAGCCACGCACTCTCGTCATACCGCCATGCAGTAGGCATACATGCAAGTCACACTTTTGCCATATGTTTAAAATATTTCCATCATATATATAGCTTAGATTTATGATAATAGTATACAAAAAAACAAAAAAAACCAGTTTAACAGTGAGCATACAGCACGAATATACATGTACAGTGCGCATACAACACTTCCAAACATTTACAGTGCATATACAAATCGGAAAAATACTTACAGTGCGTATACATCACGGACAATCATTTACAGTAAGAATACAAGACGGACAAACATTTACAGTACGCATACAAGACGGAATACATTTACATTGCGCATACAACACTTCTAAACATTTACAGTGCTTATGCAACACTTCCAAACATTAACAGTGCTTATACAACACTTCTAAACATTTACAGTGCTTATACAACACTTCCAAACATTTACAGTGCTTATACAACACTTCCAAACATTGACAGTGCGTATAGAACACGGACAATCATTAACAGTGCGCATACAACACTTCTAAGCATTAACAGTGCGTAGACAAGACGGATAAACATTAACAGTGCACAAACAAGACGGACAAACATTAACAGTGCACAAAGTAGACGGACAAACATTTACAGTGCACAAACAAAACGGACAAACATTGACAGTGCACAAACAAAACGGACAAACATTTACAGTGCACAAACTAGACGGACAAACATTGACAGTGCACAAACAAGACGGACAAACATTAACAGTGCACAAACAAGACGGACAAACATTAACAGTGCACAAACAAGACGGACAAACATTAACAGTGCACAAACAAGACGGACAAACATTGACAGTGCACAAACAAGACGAACAAACATTAACAATGCACAAACAAGACGGACAAACATTAACATTTCACAGACAAGACAGACAAACATTCACAGTGCACAAACTAGACGGACAAACATTGACAGTGCACAAACTAGACGGACAAACATTGACAGTGCACAAACAAGACGGACAAACATTTACAGTGCACAAACTAGACGGACAAACATTGACAATGCACAAACAAGACGGACACACATTAACAGTGCACACACAAGACGGACAAACATTAACAGTGCACAAACTAGACGGACAAACATTCACAGTGCACAAACAAGACGGACACACATTAACAGTGCACACACAAGACGGACAAACATTTACAGAGCACAAACTAGACGGACAAACATTTACAGTGCACACACAAGACGGACAAACATTTACAGTGTACAAACTAGACGGACAAACATTTACAGAGCACAAACTAGACGGACAAACATTTAAAGTGCACAAACAAGACGGACAAACATTGACAATGCACAAACAAGACGGACACACGTTAACAGTGCACACACAAGACGGACAAACATTTACAGTGTACAAACTAGACGGACAAACATTTACAGCGCACAAACAAGACGGACAAACATTAACATTGCACAAACTAGACGGACAAACATTTACAGGGCACAAACTAGACGGACAAACATTTACAGGGCACAAACAAGACGGACAAACATTCACAGTGCACAAACAAGACGGACAAACATTAACAGTGCACAAACAAGAGGGACAAAAGAGACACACTGGAGAAACTTTCAATACATATTATGCGACTGAACCACATTTTAAGGGTATATATATAACACTGACACATCTTTTAAAGAACTCGTACGAAACGCTCACATAACTAAAAAACGATATTTAACAAGATGTTGACGTGTTGCAGTATTATTTTTAAGTTAAGAAAAGACACTGATTCGGCCGAGAGCATATTTGAAAAGATATCAAAAACCTCTCAAAACGTTACAAATACGTTAGTATATATTTAATATTAAAAGTCAACCGATTGTTAGTATGTATACCTATATATCGTTAACCTGTCAGCAACATGACGCATTTTTAACAAACCTGTTTAGTCGTACACATACCGCCGTCAGGACCATTCAGTATAATGGGCGAAATTCATGTGGACATAAATATCAGGAATAGTGCGACAGTTGCAATATCCAACGATTACTTCGTGCTGCAGTTATGATGTCTTCATCACATTAATACTACACCACGGGTATAGAAGTTTCCACGGAAGTTCACTTTACGTGGCTGTTCCCGGCAGTAAACAGACTGTCTCTATATTATTAATGAATATGTACACTTGATCTTCAGTCTCATTATACATCGAATACTTCCATAGCTAGTGTGAATTAACAACATTGGGCCAACACGCGCCAATGCACGTCCGTTGCTGGGAGAGGTACAATACTTCTAACGGTAGAGTTGTTCCATAGAGGTAACACACACTAGTCGAACGTCAATATGATACGGGTCTGCCAATGATGTGTGTTACTTACCGTAGACAGCATGATAACCGCCGCTATCCGAACAAGTTAAGCAGATTTGAATCGTACAAATTCAAAGTATATGAAATTAATTTAGTAAATCCTTACGAGTCGGATTTTCAGATATGAAACCTGAAAACCATTTCTAGTTAATTCGTGGCTTTTCGCTTAACGTTTTGTTCTCTCGAAAATTAAAGCGAAAAATCCTCGATGTAATGTGTTGACTATCCCCATAGACTCGAAACAATCCCCGAGACCAGCTTCTAACCGTCTTAAGCGATACCATCATTGTCGTTTATGTTACAAAAAGTCGACACGATTACACCTCTACATGTAATTTGTTGGTACGGTTGAAGTCGTTAGGTGAAGGTTAACGTTTATAATGTGTAATTGAGCCAGTGAAACATACGGCCTCTGTGATACTACGTCAATAGTCACCAACACATATACTACATTATCTCTGAAGTGCAGCCACTAATCCTATATACAAAACAAAAGTTTTTGTTAGAGTCGATTTTTGGACTCCGCCCGATAGGTTGGTAGGAGCCTGTTGCAAAGGGGTTTACTAAACAATGCTAACAAAATATCAATTAATTATGTTCATAAGGTTAACTCATATGTTTAGAATCAATCAGATGAATGAGCAATATGAATAGATTATGGAAACACTTCGTCGACGGATAGACAAACACTGTTTGCGAGAAGTATTGTGAAGCTTACAGACCATTTTTACCTTCAGTATGACACGGCATCTGATAACACCAGTCTTGCTCAAAATGTCATGTCGCGTCAAAGAGTCATCTTTTGGACAGCAAAACAACCAATAGCACCGCTCTTATAGTCATGATGCCAAGGCTACCAATTGCGTGAATTAATGATATACCAAATATGAAGTCTGTATTTGTTTTATGCGCTATCATGATATAACCCACTCAAACGCCATGTCATAGTTTAATCATTATTAATCAAAGGATAGCATATTTCAATTTTGTATTGAATGGCTATTTCTTTTAATAGATTAACTGCGAACACCATTCTTGCTCTAATTGTCACATGACGACAAACAAAACCGGCAAGTGACGTTGCGACCAATACACGAAACAACGTTACAGTATCATTACAACGCTACACGGGTACCAGTAGATGTGACAAAGCTACACGGGCACCAGTAGATGTGACAACGCTACACGGGTACCAGTAGATGTGACAACGCGACACGGTACCAGTAGATGTGACAACGGTACATGGGTACCAGTAGATGTGACAACGCTACGTGGGTACCAGTAGATGTGACAACGCTACACGGGCACCAGTAGATGTGACAACGCTACACGGGTACCAGTAGATGTGACAACGCTACACGGTACCAGTAGATGTGACAACGCTACACGGGTACCAGTAGATGTGACAACGCTACATGGGTACCAGTAGATGTGACAACGCTACACGGGCACCAGTAGATGTGACAACGCTACACGGGTACCAGTAGATGTGACAACGCTACACGGGTACCAGTAGATGTGACAATGCTTCGTGGGTACCAGTAGATGTGACAACGCTACGAGGGTACCAGTAGATGTGACAACGCTACACGGGTACCAGTAGATGTGACAACGCTACACGGGTACCAGTAGATGTGACAGCGTTCTATTCCTTGACGTGGCATAACTATCAGCACCATTTTCATCGTTAAGACAGCAAAGCAACCAATAGTAACAATCATAGTGTCGAAACAATCAATTACAATCGAACAAATTAATGACCGGAAATGAAATCTACTTTTTTTCTTTTCACATCTAAATACCTCTAAATCTATAGATGGCATAGTTCATTTCTAGTAATATAGAAGTATGTGAGTCATTAAAAGACTGGTCACATGAGATCTCTCCTGAAAACAAGGTTTTGAATTCGCACCAACTATACCATAATGTTTGTTTCTCCACGACAACAAATGACTTTTCTTGTGGTGCAACGACTGATATCATTATTACCTTCATTGTGGCACAATATTTATTCTACCATTCTTATCTTAACTCTGGTACGGTAAGATATAGAATCCTTATTATATCCTCATTTTTACTTTCAATCTGGTATAGCTACCGATAGCGAAAAACCGTGGCGGTATTGTAATATATATCAGCATTCTTGATGTAAGGCTTTGCGGTATCATTACACTCACCCCCATCGTTGAAGACAAAAAAACATTCATTAGTGTCGTCAGTTTGATACAGATATGGATAGGTGTTACCCATGTGTCGTACGGACGCGTAAAACATGCATTAGTGTCGTCAGTCTGATACAGATATGGATAGGTGTCACCCATGTGTCGCAGGGACACGTAAAACATTCATTAGTGTTTTCAGTCTGATACAGATATGGATCGGTGTTACCCATGTGTAGTACTAACACGTAAAACATTCATTAGTGTTTTCAGTCTGATACAGATATGGATCGGTGTTACCAATGTGTCGCGCGGACACGTAAAACATTCATTAGTGTTGTAAGTCTGATACAGATATGGATAGGTGTCACCCATGTGTCGTACGGACACGTAGAACATTCATTAGTGTCGTCAGGCTGATACAGATATGGATAGGTGTTACCCAGTGTCGGACGGGCACGGAAAACATTCATTAGTGTCGTCAGTCTGCTACAGATATGGATAGGTGTTATCCATGTGTCGTACGGACACGTAGAACATTCATTAGTGTCGTCAGGCTGATACAGATATGGATAGGTGTCACCCATGTGTCGCAGGGACACGTAAAACATTCATTAGTGTTTTCAGTCTGATACAGATATGGATCGGGGTTACCCATGTGTCGCACGGACACGTAAATCATTCATTAGTGTCGTCAGTCGGATACAGATATGGATCGGTGTTCCCCATGTGTCGCACGGACACGTAAATCATTCATTAGTGTCGTCAGTCTGCTACAGATATGGATAGGTGTTACCCAGTGTCGGACGGGCACGGAAAACATTCATTAGTGTCGTCAGGCTGATACAGATATGGATAGGTGTTATCCATGTGTCGTACGGACACGTAGAACATTCATTAGTGTCGTCAGGCTGATACAGATATGGATAGGTGTTAGACATGTGTCGTACGAACACGTAAAACATGCACTAGTGTCGTCAGTCTGATACACATATGGATCGGTGTTACCCATGTGTCGTACGGACTCGTAAAACATGCATTAGTGTCGTCAGTCTGATACACATATGGATCGGTGTTACCCATGTGTAGTACGAACACGTAAAACATTCATTATTGTCGTCAGTCTGATACAGATATGGATAGGTGTTACCCAAATGTCGTACGGACACGTAAAACATCACGTTTATCCTCATTACGGTATGACAACCGATTGGAAATTGCTATGTTCACTTCAGAAAGGCTGTCAATACCACAATTTGCATCCCTCATTGCGGTACTACAACAAATTACAACATGAATTCCCTCACAATTCCTTAATACATTGTTTCAGTAATAACAGCCGAATCTCCTGGTAGGTAACATGACGATTCATGGGCATTCCCACTGCAACGAGACGCGGCTTAATGCCGTACGAACGGAGACGCCTCATCACAGTATCTCGGCTTATTCTAGGATTGAGTGTCCCTGATGTCTCATTTGCAGTTTCTTTGGCAGTTCTGAACCGGTCGCGCAAGTGTTGCAACCGCATAAACCTATACTGACCAGGCGTCGTTACCTTCGGTCAGTTAGTTCGTGGGCGGTCGGCAGTTGTACATGTTAGGGTAAGACGGCTGTAAAGAAGACATATTGTGCTTTTGTGTACATTCAGTATTCTTGCCATAGCAATTTCGGAGTTTCCAGGCAATATTAACTGCACTATCTTGTTGCGTGTAGCGTTAGTTAGTCTAGGCATTTTGACGTAATCACAAACGAATTTATTTTACCGGACTATTCCTATCTGATACCCCAAGAATGATAAATAAGTCTGCGGCCACGTGTATCGGTGCACGTGCTATATTCGGGCTATGTATTGTAGTCTGGCATAAACGAATGTGATGGTGAATATGTATGATAGCATGCTATTCAACACGGCTTACAATAGTTTATTTAGATTACATTGTTTAAAATTATGGACATTTAAGAGGGATTTTGTTTCCTTTGCGTGTCAGTGTAATATACACACAAATGTTGAATATTACTTAAGTAGTTCTTCTTACATGAATCCATTTCACATGAATATTTCAGTTTTTATCTTATTTGCACTTTTGAACTGTTTTGTTTATATTGCAATTACATTTAATAAGTTATCAGTTTTTGCCTCGTCATTAATCCGAGCTCCTTTTGCCTGAATATGTTTATAAAAATGTATACATTGGTTTAATAGGTGGCCTATTGTATGAGTCTGATATATCTTATAGCTTTAACCACAATGCCAATGGAGTACACAAGTCGGTAATAAGGCTTAAAAAGCATATATAATGCCATATATACACATGATCGTCTGAATAAACCTTAATTTGTCACATTCCATTTCAGGAAAATGAAGAGTGCTCTTACAATCAGTCATGTCAAAACTAGAAAGCTTGCAAGTGAATACGTTGATGGTGTTCATGTCGTTCATAAATTCGTAATCCCTCGCAGAACAATTTGATTAGGTCCTTCAGATGGAGGATGGTCATTCTTAAACCTCTTTAGTGCTACTGTAAATATGGAAAGAATAACACTTAGATATAAGTCTTATCGAAGTGCAAATGCCTGTCTAGCCGGAAAAATGAAAATAATTTCTATGTATATATATTGCTTTAAAGTGGTGACTAAGTTCGATATTACAAGGCTAGTTATCGGCATTAAGAGCCTGTTTTGATGGTCCGATGAAAACGCCGCCATCTTGTTTTGTCATCTCTCATGTCTGGTCGGCGTTAGGCAGGGCATCC